TTTTAGCACGCAATACTAAATAATATTATATTAAAATGATTTAAATCAATCTATTTACAAAATAACAATTATAATAATTCTATAATATAATTAGTTGTGCAAATACTTGAATAAATGATAGATTAAGTACCAAAAAAATTAAGTACTCAAAGACTTATATAGAATAAATATTTTTTTTATATGGAATAAACTAATAATTAAAATAGGGATTAATATTCAATATCAAATTTATTATTTAATTTAATTATACATATAATTCACTTTTTTTATAAAAGTTATTATTTAAATTTATTTAAGTGCAATGCACGTCGTGCATTGTTAGTATATATAAAATCGCGGTAATAATCTTTCATTTATGACACTATACTTTACTATATAATGACACTTATTTTAAAAGAATAATAAAATAACCCAATAATTTTAAAAAAATATATAAAATAACCTCAATATGTTCAAAACTTATTCGAACATATCTGAAACGTATTTAAAAGTTAAGAATAATACTAGTTACACCTAATTTGGATTATAATTGTTGAAGACCCAATAATTTTGTGACCTTTTGATGGATAGCGGAGTTTATTAGATATTATGACTTACTGTCAGGCTTAATATCACAATGTATTAGGTTTTAATAAATATTGGCCAAAAGTTAATAATCATATATTTAAATTGATATCACTAAAAAATAATAATATGCTTGACATAATTAAATATATTTAAATTTTATTTTAAAAAATACAAAAAATAAAATACAAATTGAGGGTGTACATGGGTGGCTCCGCCCCTTCTTGTATCACGACTCTTCGGTGTGATTTGGTCTTAGTGTTACTGTCTCGTCAATTGTGTGTGAACCATTCCGGGTAATATACTAGTATATTTGATTTCATTAATCCGCCCTATATCACATTAATCCATCTTTATTACAAAAAAATTGATTCAACACTCGTGACACCAATCCACTTTGAACCTTAGATTTTTGGCAATATGGTAACAAAGTCGCGTCGTGCGTTGTGAGGAAGAGATGTGGCTACCATTCTAAGCTTTATTTCACCTACCAGTGCGTGTAAAAAATGCAATTTTTTTTTTGTTACATGATTATAAGGTAAGGTGGAGGGTAATGGGTCAAAAATGAAATCGACATAGTTACAAGATATAAAATTATTTCTCTAAACAATCATGATTTGAATTAATTGTTACGCAATTGTCGGATGATAGACATGTTATAATTTCAAGAGATATCTCATTATTTTTCGATATTATACTTTATTTATTTTTTAGTTTCTGAGTTGTATTTTATATTGATACCCCGTGATTAATCAATGCTGAAGTTGATTAATGGAGCTTATTGACTTAATTTGAGTTTGTTTAAAATTACCATCTTTCTCCTAAAATTACAAAAAATAAAAAAAAAATCATAAAAATATAAGAATAATGATGTTTATGTCATAAATGTTTTTTGGAAAATAAACTTGAATCTATCTAATAACCTCCATAGCTAACACCAAAAAAAAAAAACATGCCATCGCGAGTAAATATTTAATATAATGGTTATATTACATAACTATGATTACATGATGTCATCGATTAATAATAAATAAACAAGACAAATGAACTTCACTAATCTAACATGATATACAAATTAAAAACACAAAATACAATGATCGTTATAACTTTTAATCTCATTTCTATTACAAGTGATTCGAGTTATAAGATGGAGGATGTGAAGGAATTGATTCTCGTACTAGTTATCTAATTTGAGAAAAAATCTCGTGAAAATAAGGAAAAATAGACTCTGAAAGATACAAAAAATTTTAATTTGTCTTCCTTGAACAATTAATTTTCCCATATTTTCTTTTCAAAGAAATAAAACATTACATTGTGGTCCAAAAGCATTACAATTTGTTTCCAAAAATATTGCAATAAAAATATTTTTAGATCACATTGTAACGTTTTTATTTCTTTGAGGGGATAATATAAAAAATTAATCATTCAAGGGATAAATTGAAAATTTTTATATCTTTTAGGGAGAAAAATGGGATTTGCTCTGAAAATAACCATAAGAAATCCCTCACTCTAGCCAAAAATGAATTATAGACAAGATTTTATTTATTAAAGTGAAATATATCAACAAGAATTTGTATACAAATTTGTAGACCATGTGCGCTCAGCCATAGTTTAGGGGTGAAGAAAAACTAAGACCATAGTTCCGGGGGATAAAGTGTAATTAATCCCCAATACCGACATCACACATGGAGTTGCCCTCACCCTATAATTTCCCTCTGCAAAAAATCTTGGCAACATCTTACAGATCATAAGTGCTCACCTATCAGCTGGCGCCAACCATAACCTTACCGGAACCCACCGTATCCGTCACCTTTGTCTGCAACCATAAACAATACCTTCCCATCTCCCTCTCTCTCTCTCTCTCTCTCTCTCTCCTCTCTCCCCCTCTCCCCCCCCCTCCCCGCAACCAAAAAAAACACACACACACGCACAACAATGTCGAAACAGACATACAGGGTCTGCTTTTGTTTCCAGCGACGCTTCAAGCTCGCCGCGTCCGAGGCTCCGGCGGAGATCAGGGAATTGTTTAATCGGTATTCGGAGAATGGTGTAATGAGCGTCGATCATCTCCGTAGGTTCTTGATTGAGTATCAGAAAGAAGAAAAGGCCACATTAGAGGACGCACAGGCGATTATGGATGGCCTCAGTGAGTTGATGCACCTCAATGTTTTTCATCGGAGGGGTCTGCATCTCGAGGCTTTCTTTAAGTATCTGTTCGGTGATAGAAACCCTCCTCTCTCACCTTCTCTTGGGGTAAACTTTTTTTTTTTTAATTAAGCACTTACTATATCTACACGTTGTTTATTCAGATTTTTTGAATGTATATTGATGTGATGGGTTTAATTTAATTCGGGAAATTTGGATTGCTTCCACCGTTGAAGTAATTGAAAATCCTCTTTCCCATCTCCTACATTTGGGAATATATTTGAGGAAAGTTATGTTTAGGTATATAATATGCGAGAGAGACAGGGATTATTTAATGTACTGCCCTTGCATTGTTAGGTTGGAAATCTAAGGTAGATTATATTACCCTTACTGTATCACCAGTGGTATAAAATGCTAGTATTCCTGGTGAAACTTTTAGTTTTGGTCACTCTGTCTTGGCACAAGAAGGGTGCTGGTTTGAATCCCCCTCCCCTGTAATAGCCTGACTAGAAAAAATAAAATTACTTGTAGTTCGACATAAATTTTTATGGAGTTATACGTATTAGGATTTTGTACCATTGTGAGACAGACTCATTGGTTTAGGAAAATCTTCCTTTGTTAAGTTCGCCTTATAGACATACTGGAGGTTGCTTGAGAATTGAGATGTCTCGTTCGATCGTATCTCTATGCTCCTCTGTTTTCTCATCTCTAGCATTGCTGTTCACTTTGATGCCACCCCTCAGATTCCAAATTTGAATTGGCCGCCATCCACAACAAGAAGCAAACACATGACTTGCACGGTCAAAGGATACTTTGAAAAAATAAGATTGGCTTTTTTGGATTTCAAAGCAATGTGGTCAAGGACATGATGGCTGTTTAGTTGACTGTACCCACAAAGTTGTAGTTGCCTTTTTTAAGAATATTCTACATCTGCAATCTATGCAAGATATTATTTGTTCTCAGCACCTCATTTTAACGGGGTTTGTTTTCATCTTGTCATCTGCCTAGCTACTTGGTTTTGGCCTACTGTAATAGGTTCTAATGTGTGGAATACCATGTTTAATTCTTCTTCTTATTTGGTTGGGGGGAGAGTAGAAGGGAGAGGAAGGGGGAACAAATATGAATAAGTCAAACTCATGCAATCGATCCAGCTACTGGAGGGATCCAAGTTTCAATTATACTTGGTTGTGTCTGGAGCACATGCCCTCGAATACATTAATTTTCTCATTTAAAAGGAAACAAGGATTGAGATGATAAGGAAGATGGAATATGCCACTGGCATTTTAATCATTCGTTTTTGAATTAAGTATGCCACTATCAGTGTAGTTTTTTTTTTTTTGTCAATTAATGTTTTTTGTCATATCACTTCTGCAACTGTCAAGTCCTCTCCACCTCAATTCATTTATTCACCATATTAATCCATTTTTCTCTATCTTTTTTGGTGATTTTCTTTTTGTTCCCAGGTTCACCATGATATGACTGCACCATTGTCTCATTATTTTATGTATACCGGCCACAATTCCTATCTTACTGGAAATCAACTAAGTAGCGATTGCAGTGATGTGCCAATCATAAAAGCATTGCATAGTGGTGTAAGAGTGATCGAACTGGATATATGGCCGAATTCCACAAAGGATGATGTGGATGTTCTTCATGGAAGGTATGGTTTTGGTGGATTTGGCAACTATTTCTAACACGGTACAAGTGTATGTCACCTTTTGCAATTATCAGCACCATGACTATAAATAACTAATTACCATGTTCCCTGGGTACGACCTTTTATGCCCTAGACTTATCATAGGTGCTAGTCATGTTCCCTGAGTACGACTTTTTATGCCCTTTCTTATGAGAAAAACTAAGTTATGGATACAATTAGGATGCCACAAATCTTGTTTCCTCCTTGGTGGACAATTAGGACATTGAGTTGTAATACGATATGTCACAGCTTTTGAAGTTTTGGAAGTGGAGTAGCTACAGTAGGAGGTTTGGTTGATAATATGGCGGAAATGCACGATTTATGAGTGACTTACTTCAATATTTTGATCAAATCTCGCAATATACTTGGAGTTGCTATATATAACTTACATTGTTCTTGTTTCAGATTCCTGTTTGTGCCTAGTTTTACCAAAAGAACGTTGTTTTTTAAAAAAATTTAGTTTCTGCTAGGTCTGTTCATTTCACCTATGGTACCTATAGTTGGTATTCTATCATACTAGTAGAAATGGACGTACTTCTGGAGTAATATTCCATTTTGGATGGGAAATGCAATTAGATGTTTGGGGCAGTTGCATTTGAACGTAAACTTCCAGAGCTTTCTAATAATAGGTCATTGGAGTGAAAAACAGGATTTGAATGAAGAAGTTATATGCATTGAAGCTGAGCAAGTGCAGGAGAAAGTTCCAAGTCAATCTGAAAGAAGTAGAATCGATTCTGGCTTGGACAGAACAATTTTGGAAAGTCCAAAACGGATCTGGTAAGGGATCAGGATATCCTACGTGCTCTGCAGCATCCCAAAACATGTTTTCGACAAATTTAAGAGTTTTCAACCATGTTGGACACATGTACAAGGTGGGAATTTATAAGGAATCTTTCTTGATCTTCTAAATCAATCTCCTTACAGCATGTAAAATATAGAAAAAAGTGTTATACCTTAAACAACAGATGTGTTAGAGAATTCTAGTTCTGAAACAAGAGATCTCATCAAGTTGAGAGCTTTATGGAAAAGAGTCTCCATTATGGAGGAACTGGTCGGTCGCCATTGAGAGACTGAATACCCATCGAAGAATATCGATCTGGTACTAAGTTTCCATTCATTGAGAAAGATGAGTGCATTTTCTGTTGTCACATGGAGAGCATCTTGAGAGGAAAAACTTTTTGAGAACATGTTTTTTTTTTTTTAATTCCTGATATAATTCTTAGATTCTTTGGATTGTTTGATAGTTCATGAGTGAGGTAGAGGTGCTTATCCGAAGTATTCATGTGAGGACTTGATAATTTCACTGAAGGGGAAGCACTTGTATTTTCATATTGTTTGGTAACTTTCCCTGTTTTTCAATAGCCTGTTAGAGCGTCTGGTGGTAGAGCTAGAGGTCTTGATACTTAACAGGAGCCCGCCTATAACTGGTTTGGATTTATCTAGGGAACAAAACTTTGTTAGCGGAAAAGTTGAATACAATTATTTTCTCTGCTATGGGAATGAACTTAGGCTTAAGCTAGCCAAACCATGATACATCACATGCCTTGTCCAGTCACATGCATTGGCACAGCGGTAAGGTGACTTAACTATGATCCAGGTGTTATGGATTTTAGTTGGGAAAACAGCCTTTCCACATACCGAGATAAAACTGCATATATCTTTCCTTCCTAGACCTGGAAATATTGTGCACTTGGCTGCCATGTTCTTGTTTTCATGGGCAGTCAACTGGCAAGTTTTTATATTTTCAATTGAAAAAGGTTTTCAACTACAAGATGGCTAAAAAGCATGAATATCGGCGTAGATATGACACGACACATCATGGATACACGGCCACAACATTTCTCAACAAAACATGATGCAAACATGCTGTGCAGTGTCCACACAGGATAAATAATTGTGATATACACAATTAGACATCAAATCACATATTTATCACTCTATATTGATATAATTAAAGTATTATACAGAAAATCAATGTTTGTGGTAAGTATAATGTCTAGTTCTATTATATGGGTTCTTAACCTAATGGATCAAATGGCTAATAACTGTTGATTTTTTCATCAAAACAATTTGTAGAAAACATGCATAGTTAAAATAATCACCATCATTTTCTCAACCCCTTTTCTAGTAAAACTTTACGCATCTCTTAATTTAATAAATGTAAAATAAAAGTGTAATATAACTAATCTTGATGATACCATTTTCTTTCCAAGTCAAATTTGAAAGCTAATATATTTGCATGTCGACACGTTTATTTTTTAGTTGTAGATATGGCTAAAAGAAGTGTCGGACACGTGTCAAAAATTAAAAACTTAGCATTTAATTGTCTGGACACTTTTCTAACAGTGTCCGAGAAGTGTCTATCTCCAACACTTTTTCGACACGGATATGTTGTCTTCTTGAGAATGTCCGTGCTTTTTAGCAAGGTGGTGTAAAGAAAAGTCAGTGATAAGATCTTTCTTCCAATTACAAGATGAGTTGATTTATTGTTGGTCCAAAATTCAGATGTTCAAGTCCTATATTTCAAGGATTCAAGGTGCTGAGATGGTTGTATGTTGCCAACAAATGAAAGCATGTCCTGTGCCAGTGTTTGTGCAACATAAATCTAAAGCCTGAGCAATTAGTTGCTTCTCCTGCTGTCCATACTTCTTTTTAAGGTATAAATCTTTTATGTAGGACACTGACCACTCCAGTTGAACTCATCAAATGTTTGAGGTCTGTCAAGGAGCATGCCTTTGCTGTGTCCGAGTATCCTGTTGTAGTAACTCTAGAAGACCACCTTACTCCAGATCTTCAGGCTAAAGTGGCTGAGGTGAGTACATGCATTTAATTAGTGGCTAGGAACTGCTCTCGTGGCTTTATCCTTCACCATTTCTTTGACAAAATTCTAGATGATCACTCAAACATTTGGAGACATGCTGTTTTCCCCTGGCTCAGAGTGCTTGAAGGAGTTTCCCTCCCCAGAATCTCTGAAAAAGCGGATTATTATATCAACTAAACCACCTAAAGAATATCTTAAGGGTAAAGAAATTAAGGGAAAAGAGAGCGATGCACAGGAGGGAAAGGATCCATCTGATGAAGTGGCTTGGGGGAAAGAAGTACCAGATCTTAGAGCTAGCATGGATGGTCCTGATAAGGTGCATGGGAATATTTTAGCGTTTTCACTACTTCGTTGACTAGAGTAACTTAATGTTGAGTCCTTATTTGCAAACTTATTCTCCTATACAGGATGATTTGGATGACGAAGAAGACAGTGAGGATGATGAAGATCCTACATTGCAGCAGACTGCAGCTCCAGAATATAAGCAATTAATTGCTATTCATGCCGGAAAGGGAAAGGGTGGATTAACAGATTGGCTTAGGGTTGATCCTGATAAAGTGAGAAGGCTCAGCTTAAGTGAGCCACAGCTTGAAAAGGCTGTAATAACTCATGGAAAAGATATTGTCAGGTATCTATTAAATAATTTTCCAACTTCATTTTAAGTATTGACTGTGCCGCCTGTCTGAACTGGCACATCATTGTTTCCTAGATAAATACAATTCATTTTTACTGATATTTGTGGAACAGAGTTCAATAAAACATAAGATAATCTTGATAGATACTGAAGATATCCTGAAGTGGTGCTGCACAAGTGTACATCTTATAAATAAGCAGGGATGAAGAACTAGATTACCATCCAGCATTGGATGCAGCACAAGTAGTGCTAACAATTGGGCCATGTTAACAATGTCAGTAATAATGACCAGTCCAGTTAACAATGTTCAGTCTACATCATGTAGCCATTACTGTTATCATTTTCCTATGTAGGCATCATATGTGCTTCACTGCTGCTATAATAGTGGTTCTCGACTCTTTCCTGCAAATTTCCATTCATAATTATAATTATTTTTGACCTGTTTCATTATCTTTGAGTCTGCACATGATTGCCTTAATACTTTGTTAAGTCGGTCTGCCATGTTCTGATATTGGCTTGCTTTAGGTTTACCCAGCGGAATTTATTGAGAGTATACCCAAAGGGCATACGCTTTAACTCATCCAATTATAATCCACTAATGGGGTGGATGCATGGAGCTCAGATGGTTGCATTTAATATGCAGGTTAGGTTTCTTTTTTCTTCCAGGAAATATAGCGCCTTATCGATAGTTGTTATATGGACTTCCTACACTAGGTTCCTGTCTTTCGTTTGCTTGAGTGCACTGGTGTGTTTGTGTTTTGTTTTTTAGTTTGAAATACTCAGCTAAAAAAAAAATCCTTAACTTTGTTCGCTCATCCATTTCATCTTCTGAACAGTAATATTTGAAAGTTTACCTGAGCTGAGAAAATACCAAATGACAAGTTTCTATGACAGGGTTATGGAAGATCACTTTGGTTGATGCATGGAATGTTCAGGGCCAATGGTGGCTGTGGGTACGTCAAGAAACCAGATTTCTTACTAAAGGCTGATTCACCTAATGAAGTCTTTGATCCTAAAGTTCCATTACCAGTTAAAACTACTTTGAAGGTAAGTGTAGAATTTTCAGGGCTACCAACTCTCAGGTTCTTAAATTTTTTGTTAAAGCATCCCTTTTGTACCTGTGTGCATGTCATTTTGGAAGCAGTGCATATGCACTGTCATTTACTTTCCTGCGACTGATTTGTGATTTCTTTCAATAAAACAGGTGACCGTATATATGGGTGAAGGATGGTATTTTGATTTCTCTCATACACACTTTGATGCATATTCACCTCCAGATTTCTATGCTAGGGTAAGTTGATATGGTATACTAGTAGCAATTGCTTCACCTGGCCTTCTTGAACATGGCCTATTGTGCTCTCCCGGGGATGAAGCCAGAAATTTACTCCTCCATTATTTATCTCAATAGATAAAATGATAATAACTCATTTGTATTTACCTAAGTCATATTTAATAGTTGGCGTTTCATTAAAAGACAAAAGGCTACACCATAGTGTATAAAAACAAAAAACAACAAAAAGAGACTAATTAAGACTTTGTACAAAAAAAATGAAGCTAATTACAAGCATTTATAATTGGCCTCAACAAGTTTTCATACTTTGAAAGCATTGTATGGCAACTTCATTATCAATACCATCATAACTTCATTGTCAACACCATCCAATTATCTTTTTCTATGAAAACCATAAGTTATCACACAATAATCCTAATTTTTTCGCAATAACAAAATGATTACACAATGGCCTGACATGTTCAAAAACTGATTTAGACATAATTCATAACGTGCACGAAGTGTGTCGAAAAGTTCAGTCATTTAGGTATGAGTCTCTTCAAATGGATTGGACAATAAAATGATAGGGTGGACACAATTAAGTATATCTGAAATATATAAGTAATGTTTTTTAAAACATATCAGGGTGGGCCCGTGTTCCACTTAGGCCTTTACTGGCTCCCCCCCCCCCCCCAAAACACACGCAAACGCACACGCACGCACGCACGCACGCACCTACACAAGAAAAAAGAATAGAAAAATTAACTGAAAAATTCTCTTTTGTGATTTCATATCTGTCAATGCTCCTAACATTAATTGGTTGCTAGAAACTTCTGCCTTTTTACTTACCCATTTTAGTATCCACTTGTCCTGTTGAACGATGGACAAATTTTATGGTGGGTTTGAGTCGTTTGACCATTTCAGATTTTCATAGTTTAATTTGATACCTTCATAACCATAATAAGTTCATTTTTATATTTCTATTCACCAGAGTAGTTTCACTCTATTAGGAATTTGCTGCAGTACTGTTTTAACACTTGTGTATGTTTATCCAGACGTAAAATGCTGAACATATGTCTTTAACATAAAAGAAAAGAAAGGAGTAAAAGAGGAAAAACAACTTGCCTTAAGAGCCATTATGAGAGTTCAATTTTCCCAGGGATTTCTGTGATGATTGTTGTATGATTGTATCACCTACCTCACTCTGGAGAGTTACAGTATATGTACCCAAGTCCATTGATATCAAATCTCTTTGCAGATAGGAATTGCTGGAGTCGATGCAGATACTCTAATGAAGGAAACTAAAACACTCGAGGACAACTGGATACCAAATTGGAATGAGGTGTTTGAGTTTCCATTAACAGTTCCTGAACTGGCTTTACTTCGGATTGAAGTTCACGAATATGACATGTCTGAAAAGGATGAGTTTGGAGGCCAAATGTGCCTACCTGTGTCAGAGCTAAGAGAAGGTATCCGAGCAGTTCCACTCTACAGTCGCAAGGGCGAGAAGTACCAGTCTGTAAAGCTTCTTATGCGCTTTGAGTTTGTTTGATGTTGTTGTGAGCTTGTGAAATTTCTTTCCTTGTGTATTCGTTTGTTTGTTTGTTTTTCTGTTTTTTTTTTGCAATGAGAGCTTGTATGTAGTCCTACCACTTGGCCTTCTTGTTGTGTAAGACGCGTAGATTTACATCTGTGTATATGTACATGCATCCAATTTATTTTTTGTGATGTTGTACTGCTGCTATCAAATAGTTTGTGCATGGAACTTGTATGGTTTTTGTTGCTCTACCATCGCACTTTGACCCCTTTTCTTTCTCCTCTACCCTTTCTTGAGGTTAGGGTTGATAATTGAGATGAGTTAAAATAAGATTCGACTCGAGCTTGACACATATTTTAAATGAGCCGAGCTTGACACATATTTTAAATGAGCCGAGCTTGACACATGTTTTAAATGAGTCGAGCTTGAATAATTTTTTCAATTCATTTAATAAACGAGGTTTAAAGGGGTGACTTTGATTATATATAAAATAGTAAAGTTACTCGGGTTTGGTTCATTTTGAACTTGACTTTTATTATAAACGAGTTAAACTTGAATACCTTTTTAAGTTCATTTAGAGAAATAAGGTCAACAGGTTCGACTCGATTATCAACTCTTCCAAAGGACATATATTGCTTAGGACAGTCATCAATTGTTCTAATCTAAGAATTAGACAATTAAAGTTGGCTCTCATAGGAATAGATGATACATGGTCTTATTTTGGCTTCAGATATCAATGCAAAAATGAAATCTGAGTGATGGATTTGTTATCATTCAGGTTCTCATACTTTTGGGTTTGTTTTAGACACTAATGCTAAAACAAAATGCATCGTGCTGACCATACATAAAGTCCAAATAGAAGCCCTAGAGAGCAAGTATATTTTCATTAATGGGACTGGATTCATTTAATTTTAGGTCAATTACAAAATACCTCTTTTAAGTTTAGGTCACATTCAATCAACTCTGTTTAATTTTAGTTTCAATAATTTATTTGTCTCGTTAAAGTTTGAATATTTATAAATTAAGTCAAGTTCAGTGAAAAATGACAAAAGACATTCATTTGAAAATCACATAATCTCAAATTCTATGAAGAGATAAGATTATTCTTCACATTATTTTGTCTTGGGAAAAAGAGTGAAGAGTTTTTTTACGTGAGGAAAAAATTTCGAATTCAGGCTAATTTTCTCTTTTTCATAAATATGAGATCATGTGACTTAATTTTCATTATTTATCATTGTTGAAAATAACTATTTGAGTTAATTAAAAAATGTAAAAATATTGAGAGAGTAATTTGTTGAAATTCAAAGTAGAAAAAGTCGTTTACAACTAGACCAAAACTTGAAGGGGATATTTTATAATTAATCCTTTAATTTTTTATGTCAATCAACAAAAATAATTATTAATACACAAAAAATACACACACCGGTCAAGTGCCAACTAAGAATGACAATGGACCAAGGAAAAGCGGAGATTCTTCGAAATGCGCTCCGTTTAAAACGGGGGATGGACCATGCGTACGAAAAAGTTAACATATATGAGAATATCCGTTTAAATTCATGCGGGAATGAACGAGGGTTTGGATTGAAACTGAAATTTATCTCTACCCGCTAAACCCGTTATTATATATATATATATATTTATTTATTTATATTTATATTTATACCCCTAAGAATGTATTTATGTTTTTGTAGTGGTTCGAACTAATCAATTACTTGCTAGTTAATTCTAATATGCCATGTTTATTTGATGATATCTCTAATAAGTGTAAATGGTGAATCTTTCTATGTCGGTTAAATAATATAAGTATTTTTTCCATCGATCTTTGTTTGATTAAGTACAATTTGTGATTAATTATCAACTCATGGTGCATTTTGAATTTTTAAGAACTTAATTGGCGTAAAGGTTATAATTTAAAGATCGTACGTATAGTTTGCTCATGTTTTCATTTTTCAATTATTGGTCGAGTTCTATTACAAGCCCGAAAAGTATTTTGTTGGTATCATATATTCTTTTTTTTTTGCTCTTGGAAAAAAAAGGCGGGAGCAAAGGAGAGAGTCAAAAGATTACCGTGATAGATCTTCACTAGTAGGATCATGATGTCCCTGACCATGCTGGTTCCTCTTATTGGAAAAGAACTTAGTTATGTTAGCATAACGATCAACTATTGAGCCCTAATGTGGACTCCAAGGCTTAAATCTCTGATATCAGGGTTAGAAGTTCGGTCAGTACCCCACTTTATAAATTTTAATTAATTTTAACAAGTGTATAAATTTTAAATTTTTAATTAATAATTATAAATAATTTAATTTAAAATAAAAAATTAAATGGAGTTAACTGATTAATTATCGTAAATTCAGCTCTCTAAGAGCAATTCGATCGGAATAGCTAAAGGAGGCTTGTTAGCTATTTTAGATAGCCGATCTATAAATTTTGGCTCCAACAGGCTATCTATCTCACTCGGTATTACTCATTATTCACTATTGGCTCGCTGGATCTGGCGACCTCCCAAGGCTAACTATTCACGACAGATCAGTCCACAGATCGTCTTCATCATAGATTCATAGCAACGTCTACATCATAGAAACTCCATCGTCTAGTATGCTCTCTCTCTCTCTCTCATGGGGATCGTGTAGGAATTAGATAGATATTTTAGATTAATCATACGAGTAATTTAATATTTATCTTTTAAGTATTTTCTTTTAATTTTTAAGAGTTTAGTTGTCATTTTAATTATTTATTTATTTTAAGGTTTGTGATCTTTTTATATAAATAGGATTTGTAAATTTCTTATATAAATAGGGGATACATAGTTGTTGTGAGACGAAACTTTTGATTATTATTGATTATTGATATTGAATCTTGATATTACTTCTTCCACAAATTCTCTCTCTTTTCTCATCCACTTTTTTTTCTTTTCTCATCTCGAATTTTTTCCTATTATGATCTACATTAATTTGGTATTAGAGATAGTACGATCTACATCAATTTAGTATCAGATCTAATACGATCTACATCAATTTGGTATCAGAGCTATTACGATAAACATTAATTTAGTATCATAGCTAATATGATTTACATCAATTTGGTATCAGAATCCAACTTCGATTCGTACAAATCACAAAATTTTCAACAACACTGTTCATTGAAAAAAAAATTTGTTTGTCGAAATCACTGTTCACGTGTTGTTTCGTGCGCACTGTTCACGTGCACTGCTCATCGTAACAAAAATCTCACTGTCCTGGAAAAAAAAACAGAATTATCAAGCAGATTCAGAAAATTGTAGCAACATCGTTGCAAAAATTATAGAAATACCCCAAAAAATTTCAGAAGTTACAAAGCGACCACCAGAAATTTCAGAAATTATAGAATCTTCCTTCCAGAAGTTATAGAATTATAGAGACACCCCCAACAGATCCATAAAATTATAGAATCATCCCCAAAACGTTTCAGAATTTCCTCTTGATTCCATAGAATTTGAGACTAATATTTTTATTCATTGAAAAATTAAAAAATTGGCAAAGGGTCAAAAACATATTTTCTTTTATTTAAGTTTTCTCACTTTTCGTAATTATCAATTGCATTCTTGAACTCATTCTTATGTTATTTATTCTCATCTTTCAAAGTCAATTATGAGTTTATATGATCATTATGATGCCTATTCATATACTTATCCAACATCAATAATATCTCAAGTTCACAATTCTCCACAACATTATCACTATACTTATTCTACTCCTAGAGTTTTTCGGAGTCATCATATAGTTCATAGTAAGTCTGAGTTTTATTATGAAGATTATCTAGAATACTACTCTGAGACACTTAGGTCACATAACAATTATCAATGTCATGCTTCCCAAAGTCATTATCAAAGTCAATCTGGATCAATCTTTAAAGTCATTAGTGACCATTCAAAAGCCAAATTGCCCTAGAAAAAAGTGTTGAGATCTTTGAAATTAGAGTTGTTAATTCTAAACATTCACTCGGCCAATTACGTGAAGAATGTAGAGAGATGAAAAATCAATTATCTAAATTAACAAGTCAATTTTTTCACTTGAATAAAATTCTTACAAGTTAGCAAATGAAAAAAAATAAGGACAAGTTTTCAGTTTCACATAATATCAGACACCCGCATAATGATAGCCATATTTTTGTTTCCGGTGGACCCTTATGCTTTTTATCCTTCAAAGCATACTTTCAATTGTTTGAACATTGACACTAGTGATCAGATTATTTTTGATGTTATCATGTTTTCTATCTCATCGGAGCCAAAAGTTTAATCATCATTAATCACTAAACTTGAGGAAAAATCTATTCAGTTGTTCCTATGCAAGATATTAAATATATTGAGCTATCTATTTTAGAATCTGTTGGCAATTATTCTGTGTCTACTATTCTGAATCATGATGACATTGTTGTGGATATTTCTCCACCTGAGATTGTTGACATTGTTTTGGATTCTGTCCCACTTGAGAGTGTTAACTTTGATTTTTTGCCTACTATCAAGTATTCAATAGAGTCTGTACTTTCTTATTTTCAACACCAGGGTGTTATAATTACTCATTTGTCATTGATTTCTTATCTCACTGAATGCCTTTTATTCAAATCTAATGGGAATTGTTTTGTTATTCTTGAGTTTGGATTTAATGCTTATTTGCTTAATTTTTCATTGTATGTTAGTATTAGTCAAGATTTTTATTTGGAGGACACGCTACTTAATCGAGATACTCCAGACCCTCCTATTTTGTTATCCAATGTTTCTACAGGTGAAATTGCTTCTTTCTCAACACTAGTTCCAGTTCTTATCTTTCCACTTACATCGCATATTTCAGGTCAAATAGATGATGTGCTACGTGACCAGATTTACATTGCTACAAATGGAGATTTTTGCATTTCTTTTGGTCGATGGAAAGATGTTAATTGTTCTTTCATTCTAGATGAGACGTTATGTCATCTTCGTTTTGCTCTCGTATGATGCTTTTACTTTGAAGACTCTCCAGAGGAGAATGATGAGGATCGTGTAAGAATTGGATAGATTTTTTAGATTAATCACGAGAATAATTTAGTATTTATCTTTTAATTTTTAAGAGTTTAGTTATCATTTTGATTATTTATTTATTTTAGGGTTTGTGATCTTCTTATATATATATATGATTTGTGAACTCCTTATATATATAGGGGATACATATTTATTGTAAGATTAGACTTTTGATTATTATTGATTATTGATATTGAATCTTGATATTACTTCTTCTTCAAATTCTCTCTCTTTTTTCATCCCCTTTTTCTTTCCTTCTCATTCCTAATTCTTTCTTATTATGATTTACATTAATTTGATATCAGAGCTAGTACAATCTACATCAATTTAGTATCAGAATTAATACGATCTACATCAATTTGGTATAAGAGCTATTACGATAAACATTAATTTAATATCAGAGTTAATACGATCTACATCAATTTGGTATCAAAAACTAGTACGATTTACATCACGCTCACTCACAGAAACTCCATCAATTTTGATCACAAAAAATCGATCAAAATAATCAAAAAATGAGAAGGCCAAAAATCTTTGATTCTTTGGTTCTGTTTTTGTGGATCCTGATTTGGGATTTTCGGGAAGATCAAAAATCAATTGTGGCTCACCTCATTAACTGCCCAAGCCTTCTCTAAATTCTCTTGCTGAAATAGAGAACGTTGGGTGGGCGGTGGCCGGTAATTTTGCTGAACAAAAAAAGGGGTATATCATTGATATGTTAAGTACATGCGATGAACTCTTATTTTATAATATATACTCTTGTAATCCATGTTTTATGATATTATATAATCTAAATTTATATCTCAAATAAATAAAGAGGGTCATCAGATGAATGAGTTTCATCAATTTTTTTAAATAAAATTTACTGATTCAATAGTTCTTCTTTATTTGGAATATAAATTTGATTATATTATATTATTCTTAAAATAGATAACATGATTGAAATAAATTTAAAAAAATAAGTAATTAAAATAAATAATTTAATATTTAAATAGAGATTTTAAATAGCATTAGATTTGCTCTAACAGCACACCGAAACCCAAAACAGATTAGAACGTACAAAAACGCTAGCTAACCTGATCATTCCGAAGATACCAAAAATGACGTCACCTCCCACCCTTCCACCACCCCTCCCTCCGCCGTCATCGGACTCCGACTCCGATACAGCCACCACCTCAAACCACGGCCACACCGACCTCTCCAACACCATTTTCAAATCCTACATCGAGATCACAGGCCAGTCATCGCCAGACCTCTCCAAGATCCAATCTTTTCTCACCTCATCGCGCTCTGGTGCTCTCTCATGCCTTATATGCCTCGAACGCATCAGACCCTCTGACCCCACCTGGTCCTGTTCCTCTCGTTGCTTCGCCGTCTTGCACCTCCTCTGCATTCAGTCCTGGGCCCGCCAGTCCTCCGACCTCTCTGCCGCTCGCGCTGCCGCACGGGCAGCCTCCGTCGATGATCACTCTTTCTGGCACTGCCCGAAATGTCGAATTGAGTACCCCAAAAGCCAAATTCCCAAAACATACTTGTGTTTCTGTGGAAAACTTGAAAACCCAACGCACGATCCGTGGGTTTTACCTCATTCTTGTGGTGAAATCTGCGAAAGGCCATTGAAGTACAACTGTGGACATTACTGTTTGCTGTTGTGTCACCCCGGTCCATGTCCGGCGTGCCCGAAATTGGTGAAAACCCGGTGTTTTTGTGGGGCTGTTGAGGATGTTAAGCGGTGTGGATTCAAGAATTTTTCATGCTATGGGGTGTGTAAAAAGTTATTGGATTGCGGGATTCACAGGTGTGGTGAGATTTGCCATGAGGGTGAGTGCCCACCTTGCCGGGCTCAAGGGGTTTATAAGTGCCAATGTGGGCAGGTGGAGGAGCAGAGAGAGTGTTATGAGAGGGTTTTCAGGTGTGAAATTCCATGTCAGAGGTTGCTTGGTTGCGGGAAGCATTTGTGTAGTAGAGGGTGTCATCAGGGTGAGTGTGGTGAGTGCCCGCTTCAGGGGAAGCGGACATGCCCGTGTGGGAAGCGAGTGTATGAGGGAATGGCTTGTGATGTTGTAGTGCCGGTATGTGGGGCAACTTGTGATAAGATGTTGCAGTGTGGCTTTCATAGGTGCCCGGAGAGGTGTCACCGTGGACCGTGCATTGAGACTTGTAGAATTGTTGTTACCAAGTCGTGCAGGTGTGGGAGCTTGAAGAAACAGGTAAACATAACTGCAAATGTAAGATATCTCAGTTTTCATAGAATTGTATAAATTGCTTTAAGATATATTCAGAAAGGCAACCACGTATTGAATGTAGAATAGGTTCCTTGTTATCAAGATTTGGCATGTGAAAGGAAGTGTCAGAGACAACGAGATTGTGGACGCCATGCTTGTAAGCGTCGCTGCTGTGATGGGGACTGCCCACCTTGCTCAGAGGTGTGTCTTGCAATTTCAGTGAAATTTGGTATCGTTTGTAAAATGATAACCATAAAATGTAAATCACTTATAATTTTTTGATTATCAGATTTGTGACAGGAGGCTTCGGTGTAAGAATCACAAATGCCCTTCTCCGTGCCACAGGTATTTTATGCTGTCATAATTTATAATTATTGTGGGCAAGAGAGTGGTGGTCCATAGTAGACTTGTGTTTTATGGAAAATCTCATATATAAGCTTACTTAGATTTGTGAAACCTGATAATAATTTGGAATTAAATTGTTTCAATCTAGTATTTGAGCATGCATGGGAATGTGTAATGTCAAGATATCATTCCCATTCCGGTGTTCATTTTATTCAAGATCCTCAATTCCTACAGGCCAAACTTGCTCGGAAGGGTAGCTTCACATTGCTACTTCTAGTAGTTGAAACTAAAGCTAAGGAAACTTGTGGGGAAAAGTGAATGTCTATTTCTTATAAAGCTATTTATTGTTCTACAGATGCAATTTACAATGATTGTTTTCTGCTTGTAGAGGTGCTTGTGCTCCTTGCCCCATCATGGTGAAAATTTCTTGTTTTTGTGGGGATACACACTTTGAGGTGAGTGTTTTGTCACTATAGATCCTGTTTACTGTTAAGAGCAAGTTAAGCTATCATTTCCTACCATGACATTAGGTTGCATAAAATGTTTTACCTGCATAGCGGTCCTTTGAGTTGTGAAACCATCGTAATACTTTGTTCTTACAGGTGATATCCATCTGATGGTTTTTATGCATTTTCATTAGTATAATAAGATTTTAGTAATGTTAAGTTGAAACAATGGAATGACAAGCACACTAAGGTCTCTTCATTGAATTTCTCTTATTTTTCTTCTTTGTTCTCTTTCACTAGCCTCCCTCCCCCCAATTCATGTTCTTCCACATACAATTTTGTAGTTGCATCACAAAATCCCAGAATTTGAGTGAAGCTTGGTGTTTTGCACAGGTTATGTATGTATGAGAAAATTGGATGTTGGACTCTCTAGAAACCTTATAGTCAAGGGTTGTTCCATTGTGGCCTAAGCTTTGGCGCAATGTTAAGGTTACTCTATTGTGGCTTGGGCATCAAGTGGATGAAAACAGTCCCTGTGCTTATAGGGTAAGGCCGCGTACATTTGATTGAAAGACCCTCCCCAAACCCAACAGTGGCTGGTATCTCATGCAATGGGCCTCCTTTTTAACTATCTATAAACGTTAAGATGCCAGGAAACCAGCTAAAGCTATTCTTCTATGCAAACCTTGACCTTGGTATATCTTCACAAGGGTTAGTTAAGGTTAGAAAACTCTATTTGGTTAAACTAATGTCCCTTACCTAAAAGAGGTAGAAAATTTTAAGGATTATCGGATTGCAAAGGATGGTTCACCATCATCAGTGCGTAGAGAATGAAATTCCACATGGAAAACATAGATCACATTTCTGGAAAATTGAGCCAGCACATGTTCTTTAAAATGAATGGAAGTACAAGGCTTGATTGTTGTAAAAAGGCTGTCCATAAGTTCTGTCTCTTTATTTCTTTCAATATATATATTTCTGCTTGTGGATTTTTCATTCTGTTGCTTAGACATCAATTTTGAGTGCATTAGCTTGCTGCTTACAGAACGTTGTTGATTATGCATGTTAGCAATGGAAATGTTTAACTACCTTTCATGATTCATACATTTCTACGCAACTTCAAGCATACATTGATTATTCGGTTTTTATTGTTTTGTATATTAGGTTTCCTATTTATCGTCACAGTACTCTTTTGGTATAGTAAGTCATATGTCCTTTGGGCTTTGTTTCAGGTTCCCTGTGGCACGGAGAAAGAACAAAAGCCTCCACGATGTCCAAGGCCATGTCATATTGCTCCTTTATGCAATCATGGATCAAAATGCAAGGTAGTATTGGTTGCTCTTTCGTGGTCTATTCCGTGATGATAAATTTTAAAGAATTTGAGAAGTTGAGGTTCCTGCAACCATAACCAGACAGCTAAATGTTATTTTTGTTAGTGGCATTTCTGATTGGTCATTGGTACAATACATAATATATCATTTCATACTTTCGGCCTGCTTTGCATTTTTAGTTGTATTCATTAATTAATTTAGAACCTGATTTGGTAAGAGCTAGTCCTAGCAATGCTTAGTGGGTATCTTTCTCCAGCCTCACAGGTGCCATTATGGAGCTTGTCCCCCTTGTCGGCTCATTTGTGATGAGGAGTATTCATGTGGTCACAAGTGCAAATTAAGGTTTGTGAGATTTTGAAGTTTGCAAATGTATCTGGCAATTTCTTTTACAGTGCAATATCACATTTGTCTTCTCTTTTATTGAATTCCTTTTATTTTTTACATATAGGTGCCATGGCCCTAAACCACTTCCTAATCCAGAATTTGCATTGAAACCAAAGAAAAAGAAGCCAAATCATCAGAGTGAATGTACTCCTGGTTCATTATGCCCTCCTTGCTCGGAACTTGTTTGGAGGTCATGTGTTGGCCATCACATAGGAGCTGAGAGGATGGTTGGAATTAGATCCTGTGCAAACATTTTATAAATTTTTTCAACTTTTCTGCTTTATGACCCAAAAAAATAAAATATCACACTCTATTTATTTGTTTCCCTGTTCAGACATTGCACAGAAATTTTCAAGGAACAATTTATAGTTTCTTGTATTCTTTTCAGATGGTTTGCTCAGCAAGAGCAGAATTTTCTTGTGACAATCTTTGCGGGAACCTTCTGCCTTGTACCAATCATTATTGCACTTACACATGCCATACCCTGAAGAGTCGGTCTTTAACATCCGGTCAGCATGAAAGAGACTTGTCTTGTGAAGTGTGTAATCTTCCTTGCCAAAAGGTTAGACATCATATTTTACTATTGTAGTGGCCTCATCCTCCTTTCTTTAATATATCCTTTATTTTGTACCTTTTATCAGTTTTTTTCTGAGAATATACCTGAATTATGGGGTTTTAGGCAATAACATAGAGTTCCTATGTCATTGATATATGGTTTACAATTTGGTGAAGCCCTTTTGGCTAATTTTTGCTCTTGTTGTCTTCCTTCAGGAGAGGCAGCCTGCCTGTCCACATCCCTGTCCTCTGCTTTGTCATCCTAGTGAATGTCCTCCTTGCAAAGTGCTGATCAAGCGTTCATGTCATTGTGGTTCCATGGTCCATGTTTTTGAGTGTATGTATTACAACAGCTTGTCTGGTGAGGAGCAAATGAAGGTTCGCTCATGTCGGGGTCCTTGCCATAGGTAACTCTTTAGAATTGCTCTCATTTGGCTTTTTATAGTCAAGTTAACTGCTTCTTTTTTGAGATGTTTAGTCCCTTTAAGAGTACAATAGTGAAAAGAGGAATTCTTGAAGAGTGGGGAGTTTTGGAGCCTGGACATTATATTTGATAAGTCACATCTTTTGCCTTTTTTACATGGATGCATGCCGAACTGTATTCAAGGATCAAAATTTTATTTCGGTCACCTAGGAATAGAAACGTTTAGACGTGTTTTGAAAACATTTCAACCCATTTTGGAAATAGAATAAAAAAATAAAAATTTTAAAAATTATTTTCTAAACATTAGTCCAAAAATATTAAAGTATTTTAGCATACCTTAAAACATTCTAAAACAATTGTGCAAACACTTTGAAACATTATAAAATACCTCAAAGTATTAGAATTTTGAATCCATTACTGACTCGTTTTGGTCTCTTTAGAAACAAAAATATTTCGGACATTTCGACCATTTCAAAACAAAATTTTGATCATTGACTGTATTTTACACGGATGCACATATCTTAATTTTCCAAATGTATAATTCCATTGTACGTGTGATCTTTTCAGAACATATAGCCATAGATTTCACATCTTAAGAAGTGATTGGCATATAACCAAGTCTTTGCATGACCAATGCCTTATCACTTGGCTATACTCCATATCGCCTATTTTGGGCGGTAGAATTGGGGGGGGGGGGGGGGGGGGGAAGAAGCAGGGGTCGAAGAATGAACCGAGCCTTACAAGCACACGGGGATATAGCAAGGAAGCAACAAGGTTCTCTCTTTAGGACCAATTGCATAAGTGTGTTACATTATCCTCCACAAGACTCTTGATGTTTTTTCAGGGCTTGGGTATGAGAACATAATTGGAAAAAATAAGGGTCGAAGTTTAGACCGTTCACAGTAACATATAGAAAAGTTCATCAGAGAGAACAACCCTAATCCTGTTGATCATATAATTGGCGGGAACGTGTTACATTAGAGGCGAACAATCAAAGGTGTCCTCTAATCACCATGATTGGAATAACGGTCTTATTGAAACCTAGGAATGAAAGCCTTTCTTAGGGCTTGGCTTCTTGACTCTAAATCAATCGAAGAAAAAAGATACAAGGCAAGACCCTAAGCATAAAAGAACCTTTCTTTGTATGACTTCTCTTTTGTCCCTGGTCGAATGAATATGAAAAGGAGATCAATCATACAAAAAAAGAGGCCAACTTTACTTGGATCTTAATGGTTGTTCGGATTAAAGAGTCCATGAAAACCATTAAACCATTCTTTATTTTACTCGTTTTTGTGCATGCTAAAGCACAACAAGAAACTCTTCTTAGGAGCTTCAAAACTGCCTTCACATCTTTAGCACCTCATCATTACCTTACATAGAGTTAGAAATAAACCAAAGAAGAAGCACAGGGCACAGAAGTGTGAATTCATTTTCTTAGTTTGAGTTAACATTATACTCATGCCACATTTACAGACCTAGAGCCACATTTTAAGCACAATTTAGATTTGGAAGTTCATAGTTTTCCAATCTAAAGGTCTCAATTACTCTGGTGAACAAAGTTTTTCATCTCCATATTTCCCTGGGTCCATGCATTGGCATATTTTACCGGTGGTAATGGTAGTGAAAATTCATGGCAAAAGACCAATGATTGATAGGTGAAGGCCTTGACCCCCGAACCTTCCCAAAGGCTATCTGAAACTTTATAGAGGGCATATATCTTCCTAAAAAAACCGAAGAGGAGATAATGAATGGTTGAGTCATATTTGGAGATCTATATCATAACATGAGTTGGAAGGCTCTTCCGTAAGAGAGAGCCGGGAGATAGAGCAGAAATTCCGGAGACCAACTTGGTTATTGTTGAGAAGATGAATATGCCACATATTAGCAATATAATTGGGAAATTGTCAAACATCGACCGGTCATTTGATGGCCATACAAGGCCAAACAGATCCTGAAAATCAAGTTGATGGCTTAAAGTAGGGCAACTCAGTTGTAAGTAAAGGTCAACACCAAAGTGGCCTTAATCCTTGCTTGTTATAAGATGGCTCTGAGACCATAATGATCAGTACTGTTGAATCAGAGTTTTTCAACAGAAAACAAGCCAGTTCTGTGAAACAGTGAATGACTGGTCTCTCTATCAAAGAAGGGCAACATTCTTTTTCATAAAAAACTACAATAGGCCGCTAAAGGCAAAAGTAAAAGAAAAGGAAACAAAGGAGATCCCCTATTATTGTTTATCTTAGGCAGGGCTTTGATGGTCAATTTTAGCCAGGAAGATTGGAGTGGAGCTACATTGGGCTAGTTGATTCAGTTTATGTTATTTGTTTCTCATTATGAGTTGGAGGTTATCATTTCTTGGGGGGATCAAGATTGTTGCTTGAATAACAATTGGCGGTAAACGATGTGTCAGAGCACAATTATCAAATCAATTATTATGATGTGCTAGATGTCTCTCTCTTTTCTACCTCTGGACTTAATTGGCATCAGTATTCTGATATTTTGATTTCAAATTGAGTTGCTGTTATGAGTTCTGATCGATGTGCCAACTGTGGCTTGTTTCAGTTTATGGTGAGATTATATCCTTTTTTCGTTTGAAATGCAGAAAGCTAGCCAATTGTACACATCTCTGCCCGGAGATATGTCATCCTGGTCAATGCCCATCACCTGACAAATGCTCTAAAAAGGTAATGTTATCATACATACCCTTACATGCTTAATTTTGACTCCACAATTCTATGTTTCTGGTGCTAAGTCTTCTAATGCAAAAGTCAAATTTGACAGTTTTAGTTCTGTGTTCTTCATATTACATCCAAGAGAGGAAAAAATAGTATATAAGGAGGTATTCAAATTTGTCATTATAAACTTCAATGCTCTAACTTTTGTATTGAGCCCCATAGAACTGTCAAAATGAGGTGTGATTTTAGGACACACTTGAACTCCAGGAAGAAAAGAAGATTAATTCAAGTTATTGGGCTATAATAATTAGCTTTACTTATGAGACACTGGTATCCACAGGTGTGGTTCTGACTTCTGATACTTGCAATCATGTTAGTTTTCTAGTGACCTTCATCAAGAATTTGCACATATCTTGAGAGAAGTTTGACAGTCGATCGCCACCCTTCGACAAGAAGGGAAACTCAATGGATTTGAAAGAAACACCCCCCCCTCCCCCCGGTGCTCCTAAAGAACCTGGAGCTCTTGGGCATCAAAATCTGACATAGCCATATCTCGACCTATTGGTTAAGCAAAACATTTTTCTGACTTAATGTTAAATCAAACGTCTTTTTCCATAAGCGACATGTACCTACAGATAATACAATTTCATGACTTAAGAACTCATTTATAAATCCATTTGGTTATTTTGGAGTTCTTTGCCCGAAGAAATTTTCTGTAGTTATTGTGATGTGGAAATTCTAATATCAACTTCAATTTTTATTTTTTTTATTGTGGCAACAAGTAATTATGATGCTAATTACACTTACATCAGCACATGGATGATCACTCTGATTTTGGTTTGTGTTCTTAATTTTACTTAATATATATTTAGCGTTTAAGCTACTTAATCTTCATTGAATTTTAATTGCCATCTTTCTGTTTCTAGGTTACTGTTCGGTGTGGATGCCAAAACTTGAAAAAGGAGTGGTTATGTCAAGATGTACAAGCAGCGTATCGCAATACTGGTTATGATCCCAAAGATATCTCTAAAAGTAACTATGGGCTATCACTTCTTCCATGTAACTCAGATTGCAAGAGTAAAGTAAAGGTTCCTGATTCAGAGTTACTACTCCGTAAATCTAAAGTTGTGGAGGTATTTCCTTTCTATTTTCAGCTGAAACTATTCAGCTCCTGCTGCATCATTCCTTTTATTAGCACTTACTCAAGAAGAAGCATCCTGTCTCTGCTGCATCGCTTTGGACTCATAAATACAAAATCCAAGTGCATATTAATCTACGTGTGAAGACCATCCTGTGTTTTGTAAGCATTACACCAACAAAAAATGAAATCTTGGATGGTAATGTTGCTGTACATTTATCTGAAGAAGAATCAGCAGTTATTCTTTCTCTATTTTTTTTTCATTTTCTTTTACTCATTTTCACAAACGAACTGTATCAAATAGTTGGGTTTGGGAAATTCCTGATTTTTTTTTTTGCAAGTATACAAGTGCATCTTGTTGTCTGGAACCATTACTATAACCATCAGAACTGAGATCAGAAGATCTTTTGAATTCCGAAATCAGGAAAAAATATGCAGATATATATCTTTCAAAAATAAAATCATTCACTGTTATTAAGAAAAGGAATAAATGAAAGACGCTGAATCAGGATCTGGTTCTTTATTTCAGATTTCTCATTTGCCCTTTAATCTTGTGTCTTATCTTAGTGGTAACTTATGTTGTCTTTGTAACAGTGTCAGGGTTCAAAGCTGATCATC